TATACTTTTTATAACATATTATAAATTAGATAATTATCTATTGAGTTAATATGATAACAAAATATATATATATATATATATATATATATATATATATATATATTTATATTTATAATATTATAAATATATTGTGTTAAATCATATTATATCACAGTAAATTTATAATTTAAATGATACATTTATATTTATCGTGTTAACTTTATTATATTATATGTACAAAATAAAAAGTTTAAATATAAGAAAATATTTATATAGATAAGTATTTAATTAATATGTTAACTATTATACTATCATGATAACATATTATTTCATTCTTTGTGGTAACTAATATATTAGCAATAATTTAATTGGGCCTAGATTTCTTAAGGGTCAGAATAAAAGAAGTCCATCAAAATTTGGTGGTGGTGGGGGGGGGGGGACAGTTTTAAGATTGAATTTAATTAAGATACAATATTTCTTATTAAAAATTAAAGATGAATTTCCAATATATCGTTCTAATCATTATCTCAAATTTCTATCAATCTCTCATACATTTTTCCCCACTCTCTCAATCTTATTAATGGCCCGTGTCAATATCTCGTCTGAAATCAATTCACAAATTGTTGTTCTTCTTCTAATTGATGCCTGCTAAGGTTGCTTATGACATTGTCTCTACCGACGTTGTCATCAACTCATATTTTAGTGAAGAAGAAGAAGAAGTAGTAGAAGTAAAAGTAGAAGAAGAGCCCTTTTGGGTAATCATCATTGATGATTTCATCCCAACAATGGCATCATGGCTGTCTATTTTTTTTCTAAAAAGGAAGAACAAGGCTCCGTTTTCTTGGTCCAAGGTATGTGCTTTTTTTATACTTTCTACCATTTACAAAAACGGATTAGCGGCTTTTTTGGTTAAAATTTTTGTTCATTATGCAGGTTAATTATTACAGACTCATTTGCTTATAATAATTTCCAGTTGAGTTTTGAGATTTTTCAATCGAATTCCAATTTTTCGGTTATATAAGATATTACTGAAAAAGTTATTGCTAGTGATTATTTACTCTAGACGCATCTTAGTGGGCTGACAGAGTGAGCTGGAAAGATTATGTCTTCCGAGGAAATTCATAAATACTATAATTTTTTTAATATAAAACTAAGGTAAGAAAAATGATTAAAATTAGCACAAGATAAGGAAACTATGAGCAAAAATAAAATAAAAAGGTAATATTTTGAAGGGCTGTATTAATCTTTATACATAGAAAACTTAAAAATTAAGAATTTACATATAGTTTTTATAACATATTATAAATTAGATAATTATCTATTGAGTTAATATGATAACGATATATATATCTAAATAATATTATAAATATACCTTGTTAAATCATGTTATATCCAGCGATTGTGACTGAAATTTGTTCGCTTAACTTTGTAAAATTGCTACTAAACTCTGCAGTTAATTTTTGAGGTCAACTTTTCAATGACGCCTATATGAAAGTAGGTTATTTGACATTAATACTATGTAATTTTTATATTTAAGGCCACAAATTTTTATTTTTAGGGTTAAAGCTTAAAAATACTCAAACCAGTTATTATTTTTAGTTCAAACATATATCGCATCAGGTTGTATTATTATTATTATTATTATTATTAGATAAAAATATACATATATGTGTATTTTTGTTAATGGTTATATTTTTCTTAAAAATTTCTTATTATGATTGTATAACCAGAAAAGTAGTAGATGAAATAATTAGATATTGGCATAAAGAATTGTTCACACAAAGAAATGCAAATGTAAAAGCGGAAAATCTGGCACGCAAAATTTGTACCATTCCGGAACTTGTTAAGTTTGTAAACAATTTTTCTTCCAATTGGCTTTTATGAGTCAATCTTATAGTTTTTGTTGGAAAAAAGATTGTTCACATACTTAAACAAAAGAGTTTCGTTGATATGATTTGGAGGAAATACAAAAAGAGTTAGTAATATAAAAACGAACATTTTCCGGTTATTGACTTTCAAAAGAGTTCAAGTTTTTCTTCATGTGAACGTCAAAAGTTTGGACTATAAAAAAATTGATATTAATCATCGTAGGATAAGAAGTTATATACAAATTCCAAGTGTTTTAGACTTAAGATATTGGGGTTATAGCAAGACGAACGAAGAAATTATTTCATATGGCAGACCAGGTGGGCATTGTGGTATTTGATGATTCATGAATTTTACATATTTATTGACCAAAAACTATGTCAATTTACAAAAGAAATTAAAGTTGTCTAGACTATTTTCATATTGTGAACCATTTCTTTTAGTATGGGCTAAGGCGTTAATAGACAATATATATGAAAACTTTTATGTGGGTAGATAAAATTGGTTGCACCATTTCCTACAGTTTGGGCTAAGGCCTCAATAATCAATCTATACACCATACTATCGATTCCAAGCCCATAAAGAATTTGAAGAATCCAAATTTGAAACGAAAGGCATTTGTATAAATTGTATCCTAGACTACTCCATATGTATATGTGATGATGTGCAAGTAAAACAGAGCTCATAAATAATCTCAAAAGATTACAAGTCTACAACAAAAGGAACTCTAAAGACAAAAACAATCTGAAATCAAACTTTAAATTGGGCCGAGTCCTCTAAGTTTTGGCCAAGAGTTAAATTAATTATGGACCGTCTTTTCTTTTTGTTTTCTTATCTTCTTCTCCGATCAATTTCTTCATCATATTATTCATACTCTTACGGTTTCTCTTCTAACCTCACTTGTACGAATCCTTGTTAGATCTAGGCTTTACAGTGGTTTCCTTCAATCTCTCTTTAACAGGATAATGACCTGATGGGCCTGAATCAACCAGGGCCCAATCCATTTTTTAATCAAAACACAAAACCTAAACCTAGTTCACGAACTCTTCTTCTTTGTCACTGTTCACGAACTCTTTCTTGATGCGAGGGTTATGATTAGGAGGAAGTACGGTATTAGAGTTCACAAGTCCCACATTACTTGGGATAAAGATCTTTTCGCAATATATATAGGATGTGGAAATCCTTCTCTTTTGAGTTAACTTTTGAGATTAGTTATGCCACATTACTAATATTGTAACAGAGCCAGTTTTTGGGATTAGTTAGGCCACATTACTAATATAGTATCGGAACCCATGGTAAGGCCCAACAAGCAAATCCCCACAAAAATGGTTTCCTACTTGTGGCCCATATAAGTGGCATGTCTTGTTCTCGTGTTTTCGAGATGTTGGATTTGGACAGTTTCCGTGTTGGACCATTTCTCACCCACATCTCGAGAGGGTCTATTAGAGTCCAAAAGTCCCTCATTACTTGGAATGAAGATCTTTGCGCAATATGCATAGGATGTGTCAATCTTTCTCCCTTGAGCTAGTTTTTGGGATTAGTTAGGCGACATTAATAATATACGGTGTGGTTAATTTCAGTGGTACTGTGTCGGAGAGTGTGGTGAGTGAGAAGGTGAAGAAGCTCACGAGTGATCTTGAGAAAGATAGGTTTAAGATCATTGGAGATTTCGTTCTTGCTAGGTATACCACCGTTCAACACCATCTTTATCTTTTCTACAACTCATTAATGATGATTTGAGTGAATATTTTTTCATAAAAGTTCAGAATTTTTTATTTTCTTTAGAGACACTGTCCATACAGGTTTCAAAATTTAATGAATTCAATCTTAATCATACAAATATGGTAAAGACGTTGGCTAGTCAAGATCGATATAATTCTTTAACAAAAATGCAGTTTGTTAGATTTCTATTCTGAATTTATTTGGGACATTGATTTGGTGAAGAGTATATATTTATAAATATATATTAGAATGCACAATAAAAAGGACTGCATAATTGTTTTTTAATTAAATTGTTACCATAAACACACGAAAAAGAACACTGGGTAAAACAACTTTTAGTAAAAATGATCAAAACTAAATGTTATTATTAACGGCCACAAACCATTTACTAAATCGGAAACATAGTTTAAAATCCTAATTTAAATTTATTACAAATTCAACCAAAATCTACTATGAGATCTCATTACCACCACCACATAATTCAATAGCTTATATAACATGTTTTTAATCTCACTTAGTTCACTAACTAACTAGTAGAACATTATATTATTAGTAAATTGACAAAGGTTAAAGAAACATTGCTCCTTCAGACTTAATTTACACCGTCTCCGTAAAAAAAATAAAAAAAATCATGAGGAGTAAAAAACAAATATTAATTCCAAAGAAACATAATAAATACATGGTTTAAAATCTGTGAAAACTAGTTATATTGATCGGTCATAACATGAAACTGATTAGTGCTAAAGAGACTCGTTGTAGTGAGTCTTGTATGCCTCTCTCTTGCTGCACTTAAGTATATAGCTTCCCACTGAACTAGCAGAGTCATAATGTGTGCTCATCGCTGAAGAGACCAAAATCTCTATGGACGAATCTATTCGTAGTAACATCTCCTCTATAACCTTTGTTGCACCCTTCTCCCGACAGCTGTAAATGGTATTGCTGATAAACTTCGCAACAACTCGTCGAAGATCTCTAAACCCTTTCTTATACTCATATTATTCTATTGCAATCTCTTATTCATATGGTTCTTCAATATAAGATCCAAAATTACCATGTCCAAACCGAACCGAACCAAACCCAATTCTAATTCACATTTTGAATTAAATCACCTCTCTCTTTCTCCCTCCCTCCTATATTCACCATTGTGATATAAGACTTGTGTAAGTCTGTTAAACGCATCTGCGCCAAAAGATTAATTGGTCTAGTGATTCAGTATAACAAAAGATTGATTGATGACTTGGATACGAAGAGAAGCCTCTAATTCATTTTTAGAGTGTTTTGCAGTTGAGAAGTTTCTCAAGTATAAGTAAGGTAGATGAGTGTCGAAGAGGATCATGCTTGATGTTGACCTATGTTGTGTGAGAGCTTCAGACAATTGATATCTTGTATTTGTAAGGTTAGTTCTTCGTTATCAAGTAACAGAGAGTTCACAATATCATAAACCTAACATTATAAAGACATTCAAATCTAAATGTGATATTCAACTCTCTCTCTCTACCAATATTCTTGTCCAAATTAGGACGATCTCAAACACTCATCTGACTAATTTGGTCGGACAAATCCACAAAAAAAGAGACAAAGATATGCTTTTAAGGATGCTAACTCGGGTAGATTCTATACAGAGTCTGGCTAACTATCAACAATTAAACAACCAAAACCAGCCACAAGTTAAACAAGAAACAAAAGTTACACAACTACCATATGCTCTCAAAAAAGTTCTAAGAGAATCTTGCAAGTCCTACTTAAGCTATCCATCTGTTTGTTAACCTTTCTCAAACTCGACTGTTAAAGGTAACGAGCCTAGTGACTAACGTCGAGAAGGCTGTCTTGGCTTGAAGACACCCCACAGGTAGTCCTTTGAGTTAAAAGCTGCAAACGATAATCACTTATTAGCTTTACTGATTCTTGCCAAGAAACTGTAATAGATAATAGAGTTCTCGATGACTTACACCAAGAGCCCACTGGTAACATGTAAGAGGTGAAAAGTAGAAGTTCTGCATCATCAAGCACGCATCTCAGCGCTAAATCATTCTTCCTCATTTCACCAACAAAGGAATAGAAAATCTTATCATCGTTACTGGAAACCAAAAACAAAAAACGGTTACAGTTTTACAACATATGCTGCATACGGAGAAATGAAGATATCAGTGTTCATGTATACCTTTCATTGGAAGGGAAGAAATAAAGAGCAATGCTTTCGTCTTTAGGTCCTCCACTCTTCAGAAAGGTTTTTGGCCATATTTCCATCCTGGGAAGGATTTTAGCAGAGAGGCGACCCCGTAATGAGCTTGCTGTATCATGGACCTTAGGGCAGGCTAAGCTTGATACATGAGCAACAATCCCATCAAAGCTACAGCTGTTTCCTCCTTCAACAGACATCAATCCCCTAGAAATTGAAAAAACAGATCGGAAATCAAGTAATGATGTCATCAACCCATATTGAGATGCAAAGTGATACCAATAAAGAGCCTTTCCTCTTTACCTCCATATAGGTATTTTGATTGGTTGCGCTCTATAATGCCCAGATGTCAACATCTCCGAAGTTTGAGGCATATTTGATTCAGCCTCTTTGCAAGAACTACTCCCATCAGCTAGCTGTCTATTTTCAGTACTTACCTTTCTTTTCTTGGTCGTACACGAATTATGATCTCGCACACTAGATGAATTTTCAGCCTCCGAGACAGATGGTCCATTTCCATCTAACCCAGTTAATTCATGAAGTTTTCTGCTACCTGAGCTTTCTTGTCTTTTCGATTCCATTGATTCTTTTATTGGTGAAGAAGACACCTCCTCAGGTTCAACATTGGTAGCATCATGGACTCCATGGTCCTGAACAGCTAAAACCAGTGGGTTTGGATTGCTGCTCATTGTGTTGTCCTTCTTCTCCTTCTTCTTCTTCTTTTTCTTCTTCTTCTTCTTCTCTTTCTCATTCGTCTTAGATATATTTAGAAGCTTATCAGTCTCATCAACGTCTTTCCGGTTAGAGCTACTGTCACTCCTTTTGCTGGTACCAGAGTTAGACTCCACTGTTTCTTTAATTGGTGGAGAAGACACCTCCATACTTTCAACATTGGTAGCATCTTGGAGCCCATGGTCCTCAGTTAAAACCTCCTGGATGTGATTGCTGCTCTTTCTCTTCCTCTTCTTCTTCTTCTTCTTCTTCTTGTTGTCACTCTTCTTCACGACTTGTGTAAGCTTAGCAGTCTGATCAACTTCTACGCTATCAGACTCACTTTCACTCCGATCACAATCCTCACATATCCAAGTGATGTATTCAGTGAAAGGAGTCGGCGTTATTCCTACACAATAACTGAAGGAACAAAACAGAAACAGGTAAAAACCACAACACATCAAACTTAAACAACAGAAGAAAGTACATGAAGCAAGTAACACAAATGAACCAAACCAATTCCAGTAAACGCATATACAGAACACAACACTATACAATCAGCCACAGGGTAAAATCAAGAACCAAACTTTCAATCAAGAACAACAGAAACAGGTAACAGTAACCACAAAACCTCAATTCAAAAACAGAAGAACGAACTCTAAGCAAATAACACGAACGAGCCAATCAGTCTCTCTGGTATAGGCATATACAGAACACAACACAATCCAAACAACAGGGTAAAATCAAGAACTAAACTTACCGGTGTATAGCCACAAAACCTCAAACTTCAAAAACAGAAGAATAAACTCGAAGCAAACAACACAAATGAGCCAAACAGTTTCTCTGCTATACGCAAATTCAAAACACAAACAACTCAATCAACCACAGGGTAAAATCAAGAACTAAACTCACCGGTGTATTGCCACAAAACCTCAAACTTCAAAAACAGAAGAAGAAACTCAAAGCAAACAACACAAACGAGCCAATCAGTTTCTCTGGTATAGAGCATAATCAAAACACAAACAACTCAATCAACCATAGGGTAAAGTCAAGAACCAAACTCACCGGTGTACAGCCTCAATCTTACAAGAGTCACAAAAGACTAATGCTTCTTCAAAACCAATGTCGCCACAAGTTTGACAAACAGGCGCCTGCAACAAACGGGATAAAAAATATAACTTTTTAAAACCAAAAATGAAATCTTTTCCAAACTTGAATCAAGAGCTAAGAGCTTCAGCGTGATATTTGCGAACACATCAATCGAAACGAGTAACAACCCACAAACCCAAACACCCAAAAACACAATCTCCATCGAAATTGAGAGAAGAAAGAGTGATAAAGTTACCATCTTTACAGAGAATTTTCAGAATCAGATCCTTTGGATGATGATGATGCTTAGCAATAGCAACAGTGGAGTCGTAATAAAGAAGACGATTCGGAGCAAACGAGGCTTAGGGTTTGGGAGAATTTGATTAGGGTTTAAAGTAGTCGCCTTAACCTTCAAATCTCAGTGATTAAGTTCGGAGCTTTTTAGTCTCCAGCCACAAAATCGCTCTCACCTCACAATATGCATGTCCCGGTGAAAGTTTGAAACTTTTTAACATTTTCTCATTTTTTCGCTTTTATGTTTATCAGTGAGTGTAGGATTCAGTTAGTTTTATAATACACAAACCCTGAAAAGAGAGGAAAATAAACATTTGTCTAACCAAAGATTTGTAAAATGGTGTGACCAAAGATTTGTAAAATAGTGTGACCAAAGATGGTGTAATCAAAGATTTGTAAAGATGGTGTGACCAAAGAGGAGAGGAAATTAAAAGTTTTGTAAATTGGTGTGACTAGAGACTTGTTATCTCAATTCTCAAACAGTTATATTATTGTATTATTAATATATTGTACATTATCAGGAGTTCAAGGTTTGGGTTGACTTGTTAATTCGCAGGGTTTAGTGATCGTTGTTCGGTTTGGGTTGATTAATTAGAATTTAGGGTATAGATTTTTATTTAAAAAAGGATTAATTTCTGGTTTTGGTTGACATGTAATTATGGAGAGTTAAATAGAAAATATTGTTTCACGGTTAGGGTTGACTTTTTAGTACTTAAGGTATAGATTTCGATATAAAAAAGTTTCAAAGATCAGGTTTTGAGTTAACTTTTGAGTTCGCAGGGTTTAGTTAATGTTATTATTAAGGGGGTGAATTTGGTTTGTGAGTTATATGGAGTTTTAATGACTTTAGATGTTTGGTAGAATCTGTTGTTATTCAATCAAGATTTTACAAAACTCTTTTTTTTTTTTTTTGACATCAAAAACTCCATATTTTATTAAGCTGAATCAAAGAGGATGGCCTCGTGAGCCATCCAAACCGGAAAGTGTGAGCTTACATGGGAAAACAAAATATCTCGTGACCTCGCATTCTTTGCTAAAGAATCTGCACGGATATTCTTATTCCTAGAAATAAAAGAAATCGAGAAATGAAAGAATTTCGCTTTTGTAGTTGTGAAAATATCTAACTCCGTGGAAAAGGCTGGCCATTCCTCCGCTTGATCAATGAGTTTAATGAGTTCTGAGCAATCCGTTTCAAATTTAACTTCATGATGTCCATGTTGCAACAAAGTTTCCATGGCCCAAAGAAGTCCTTCAAACTCTGCATGAAGTGCAGAGAGGGATTGAGAAATACCTTTCTGTCCCAACAAAGGAGTGTGAGTCCCACTCACGAAGAAGCCTAGTCCCGCACTCTTCCCATTGCTGGACCAAGACGCATCAGATTGACATCGTATACCCGCGTATAGGTCTCGCGCCAAAACTCTAGCCTCAGATGCCTGCTCTCCATCCTCGTCCTGATCTAGTTCGTCCTCTATGGTTTGAGCGATTTTCCATGACATAGATTCTGCTACTGCCTTAGCTAACGTCTCCGGTGGTCGGATGTCCTTGTTATTGAAAACTTTCTCATTCCTAGCTTTCCAGATGAACCATAGGATCCATGGAAAGCATTCTACAAATTCTTCAGCAATTCCTTGCTCCTTTGTTCTCCATAAAAGGTGATCCATGTTGGCAAAAAGAGAGGTACTCGGGAAAGACCCCGGAATTGTAGGAATGTTACTGAGAGCCCATACCTGCAAGGCAGGAGGGCATTCAAACAGGAGATGATTTATCGATTCCTCTTCTGCACCACAACGCGGGCATGATCTATCTCGACCACAATGGCGATCTGTTAAGCGACTACAAGTTGCTATGCATCCCGATAAAGCTTGCCACATGAAGTGCTTTACTTTCCTAGCAGTTCGGGTCTTCCACACCTGATTTTGGAGCTTTGAGATGCTTGGTTCCAGCACTTCCCGACTCGCCAAAGCCTCTTTGGATGCCAACAAGTAACCCGACTTAACCGTGTAAAGGCCTGACTTGTTGTAAACCCATATAAAATCGTCTACCTGAAATTGTCTGCTTGGTCTTAAACCCGTAATCAAAGGAATATCTGCAGGATCAATTAGCTCTTGGAGCATGTCCCTCTTCCACTCCTTGGTATTAAAATCGATCAAATGGTTTACATACAAGTGCGGATCTCTGAAAACGCCATTATCTTTCGCTGGACGTGCCGGGATTGTCGGGATCCAATTATGAAACCATACTTTCGTACTAAAACCCGACTTAATGTTTTTCCGAAGTCCCTTTTGAAGAAGATCTTTACCTGCCAACATGCTTCGCCATACAAAGGATGGATTATATTTTGAACTTCGATTATGTTCTCATCACTAACAGCAAAATATATATATACCCAAAGTTCAAAACTCTTTTAAAGTTTGGTGTTATTAGATATTGATTTGTAAAGAGTCATTCAAAATGTTCATAAATATGGGGTTATTGGATATAGAGTTTTACAAAGTCATTAAAAGTTATGTGTTATTCAATTAAAACAAAAGAATCTCTGATTGTTAATGAATTAAAATTTTATGTTATTGGTTTATGATTTTAAACACTTTTCTTTACAAAATAAAGTCATGAAAAGTATCTTATAAATACATAGATTGTTTGAGAGACTTTACAAGACTTTAAAAAAACTAATCAACAAGATTATATAAAACTCTCAAACAATCCTTTAAAATCATACAATCTATGATTTTAGCATAGTCATCTAAATTTTTTATAAATAAGAATCCAATAACACCCCCTAAATATTTCTATTAGGTTTTTGTTGACATGTGTTAACCAATATTTACGGTCTTAGCAAATAATGAAAATATAAATCCATATAGCGTACGGGGATTGGTTTTAGTTATAAGATAGATAACATACTATATTAGTAGGTAAAATTAAAGTTCCAATATTGGCGTTCTTATCCGGTATTTTAAGTATAAGGTTTTGGGTTGAAAATTTTGAACTTTGGGTATATATATATTTTGCTGTTAGTGATGAGAACATAATCGAAGTAAACCGGTATCAATTAAGATAAGGATGAAACGATGATAATATCATTTGTTATCTTATTGTTGTTAGTGGTTTTAGGTAGATTATGTTAAATCTTCGATTCATGTCTATCTCCTATATTCTATAATTGCCCTTAACATGTATAAATAGTCATAACATCTTATGATGAAATATATGGAAAAAATGTTTAAAGTCTATTGTTCTTATAAGCTTTTGATTGGGACCTATCAGTTAGAATACTAACATACTTGGTAGATAGGTAAATAACTAAATATCATACATAGGCGTTCTTATACAGTATTTTAAATATGTGTTATCATGTTTCGAAATGGTTAATTCAGCTGTAATTTTGTTAAGTTAGTTCCTTAATCGTCTATTTAATGGGTAACGCTTTTGATATATATCTTACAAATGGTAAGGGACCAAGCTTCCTTTTTCATTAATTAATAAAAACACATTGGTTAACTAAACATTTTTCCGGTACTAAAAATTATTTAGTTAAACACAGAGTCAAATTTATCCCTAGTGGGAGCATTATAGATAATTAAACATTTACCGGGCAACAGATTAGTTAATATATACAAATAAAAATTTACGCCACCATCTCCGTGATTCCATCTTCCGTTACATTATTTATAACACATTGCTTGGTCTTCCCATCACCAAAAAACTAACGTTGTTCAGAGACTCGTAGATGTTGCTGGTCATGACGTTGTACCTCTCCCCAAAAAAGCGTGATCTGGTCCAGTGTTCAAATCCTATTCTAGTTAGGTAGTCAGCGCATGGTCCGCTCATAGCCCGTATTTCAGCAAAGAGCTAGTTGAAAATCGCTCAGCCTATATGCTCTAGCAGCACTGAAAACCAGACAGCTTAAGAGTTTTTATTTAAAGATAGCTAGTATGTTCTTTTTCAAGTGCACAACGCATGTGAAGCCATGAGATAAACCTACAAATGTGAATCGGGTTGAGTGTTAGTATAAGTTAATATACATGTTACCTTAAAAAGTTCCAAAACCAAAATTATAGTTATAAAAATATTTATGTAACTCTGGCTTTATATGAACATATGTCATGTTTTTTCCTCCATATTTGATTACTTATGCTCACTTTTTTTTTTACCTCAATAGTTTTTATCTCTTGTCTTATCAGTCTAGATAGCCTAGAGTGGAGTTTTGGATATCGCCCCATCTGATTCGGATTAGTAAAGTGCTATCAAGCTTTCCTCTGCACAATGAAGAATACCGAATAAGTTAGTTTATATCTATGTAAAACATATATTATCATGATATAATTTGAGTTATCTTACCCATAATATCATCTTCGTATGGGTCGGACAATAACGCGTCGGTCGGGAACGATACACTTGATGACTGAGATGTTGAGGTCCTGAATCGCTTGATGAAAGCGTCACCACGTTTTGCTGACTACCCTCCCCAACAGCCGTGCAAAGATTTAGGTTTAGGCTGCTGTTGTTTGCTGGGTCGTACTGGCCTGGACCCTTTTCCAAGGCCCTTTCTTTTCCTGTTGCAGCAACCGAACTCGCATGTTTATCAAGTAACAATTTCGTTATCACATTGTTTTAGACGGCTTGTGTCTAAAACACGTGTTCATAGTTTCCTTCTTCGTCTATTTTTGATTCGCCCCGTACTAACCTCACAACCATCGCCATTGGAGACCTGTAAAGGAAACGTAGAAGTAAAATGTTAGCGAACAGACACGAAAGTTATCGAAGCACCTTTTTTAATCGCCACTAAAGTTGAACAGCATTGAATACTCTATAACAAAGACAGTAAGTAGCAGATGATAGCCATAAATTCTTACAAGTTTTTTTTTTATTTCTCTGTGTCTTTATTCTTGCTCAAGTGAATCAAACCAAAAGGATGAGTAATGTTGTTAGTTGTTCAGAGAGATGTTGTTCAGGCAACTGACTTACTCATCTAATAAATAAGCAATTGAATAGGCTAGCTTCTATCGAATCCAAAATCATCATTATTTTTGCCCAAAATCTTATTCTCCCCAAGGTCGACCCAAGCCTGAAGAAGTCAGAGATTTGTGCAGAAAATCTATAGCCGCAGTAGGTACCTTATTTAGCAAATGCTAGGTTTTTATTTTTGTTAAATCGTGTTAGGGCTAGTAGAGTAACTTCGTTAGACTTGAGGAGAGAGATCTAATTTTTATGTTATCACTTCTTTTCTTTTAGTTTTCTGATCTTTTGAGTACATATGTTTAACTCGCCCTTTATTAACTCGTTTGATGAGTGCAAAAAAAACGTAACAACTTAGGATTAGAGGCGTTGCACCTAAAGATTGGTTACCATTTCGAGAAATATTTTACTCTTATCCATTAATATACAAACATCTCATCACTAAATTTTTTGTTTCATCATCAAATACGTGTAACTTATATTGTTCTTGAATCATTATACGTAGACATGTAAAATTATAAGAAAAAAAAACTATGGTAAATTACATAAGTTTAGCATCTTATAGTCTTGGCTTTGATTCGAGTACACGAATGATAGTCTCAAAGGCTGTATTTATCACCATGATTAAAAAACTTAAACAATCCGATTCAATATGGTATAACTCCATTATCCATAGCAAAGAGAACATATATATATATATATATATATATATATATATATATATATATATATACATATATATCTTTTGTAGAGTAATTAATCTTTGATCTAATTCATGTCTCTTTTTTTTGGTTTCATGAGACTTACCTCTATATAAATAATACAAGGAATAAGTATTTATTTTGTCGCAATTTTACAATTTTTCAAAATCTGTTTTTATTTTTTGCAACTTAAAAAGCAAACAAAAGTTATATCCAATAACATGAACACAAGTCTCTTAGATCACTTTTAACATTTCTTTAACTCATAAAGAAGACATGTTAATGGTTTCAATATGGTCCTCAACAGCTAAGGTTGATGTTATTCTTTCTTTCTTCTTATTCTGTAACTCTTATACCATAGATATCTTGTATTTGGAATATATTCAATTTCACTGCTATCAGAGTCGATGTCACCAATCTCATATTCGTCACATGAAGTATGATCAACTTCACTACGATCAGACTCGCTTTCATTCTCATCAGACTCGTTGTCACTCTCATCAGGGTCGTTGTCACTCCCATCACAGTCCTCACAGATCCAAGTTACACATTCGATACAAGGACTCGACTCTTTTACCATGCAATAGCTGATGAAAAACAAGAGAAAAATATTTCAAAAAGCACCAAGAACAAACCACAACACCAAAGGAGTCGTAAAAACATAAGAAAATGAAATATATGAGTCAATCATAAATCAATCAGCCGTGGGAAGAGATCAAGAACCAAACTCACCGGTGAATAATCGAATTCTTACAAGAGTCACAACGTATTAACATTTCTTCGCTGCTGGGGTCGCCGCAAACCTCACAAACATTAACTTGAGACTAAGGAAAAATAAAGAAAAAGAAAATTTCGAGTGAAGCAGATGGCTTAGGTGAGAACATTTTCATCATAATAAGGATGAACAATAGAATTACCAATCACCAAAACATAAAACATTATTGAGTTAGAAGAGTTAGAAGGGTACCATATTGTAACTTCGAAATCAGATTCTTGTCTTTGTGAAGTTTTGAGACCAATTCCTCAATGTTTTTGATGTTTAGTGAATAGAGAGATTCAATTGGTTTTATATGACATAACATAAGGAGAGGTAAGGAAATATATATTTTAAAGGTTGAAGATGATGTAACCAAAGATTTCTTATCACAATTACAAGATTTTCTTTTTAATAACTTTGACTAATTTGAATACACCAATCTTATCTTTTAGTCAATGTATTTCACTTTTATATTCAATAAAAATTTTAAAAGTTACCTATTAAAATTAAATTCAATATACATAAAAGGGAATGCTATAATATTGATGATAGAGTTTACCTAAAATTACAAGATTTTTTTATAAAAAAAGTCTTTTATTGATTTGAATACATCAATCTTATCTATCAGTTCAATGTATTTCACTTTTATATTTAGTCAAAATTTGAAAACTTTAATTAATAAAATTAAATTCTATATATAAAAAAACAAATGATATAATTGATTTTTGTGATATGTACAAAATTAACAAGGTAATAAAATCGATGAATCACACAAAAGGACTAAATAATAATATACTAGTTTATAATATGTGATAAGCCAAACATTTTTTTTTGTAGTGTATAATTTATTAAATAATTTTGTAACCAAAGTAGCAAGAATGATTAATAGTGAGAACGTAAATAAAATATACAGTAGAGATTAGAGACAACTAGACATATATACCAAAACAGCTTAAAAATAAAGAAGATGACAAATCTATAGATGCCGAAATCATGTCTTCTAGTCTTCACTTGGGGTTTGTGAATTTCTGAAATTAAAACAAACTGTCTGCATATACTCCGGTTTGATGGGGTTTTCAAATTTAAGCTTTGTAAATTGGAACCATCAAATATTGTCAAGACCACAAAAGACCAAATAACATATCAAAGATCCTGTTTGAGTGCTTGGACTTTCAAATTTAGCTTTAAACTTATCAAATGTCGTCAAAACCGAATAAGATAGAAACAAAAACTATTACTGTCTTGACTTATATATGTTCATGAACTTATTTTTATTTTCGGGTTGAAGTATTAAGACTATGTTATGCGTTTCTCGACCATAATCCCTTACGCCGATTCCACTGAATTTAAAATGCATGGATGGTTACATATGCTTTTTTTGTTTGAATGCATGTAAATGAATAAAAAGTTTCTTTTTACAATAAATACATCCTTGTATCAATTAAATTTCATAAAAAACTATAAAAAAACGTTTGGAAAGTAGGAGAGATTAGCTACGGGTAGCTAACCAAAGTTGTAATCCGTCACCAAACTTTGTTGTATTTTCTTGCATTGAGAGAAGCTTATTACGGACCATACGGTCTAAAAATCGGATAAGCTGGTCTATAGTGCTTGGCATGTTTCCATGTCGGCATCAGTTGCACTCCATCCAAAGCGTGTAAACTGATGCTTGGAAGACAATACACAGTAGGAAACAAGTGGTACTTTTGATAGTCTGGTCTGAGCGCAGATTTAGAACCTGAGCAAAGCAAGCAGGGAAGTGGCCAGCCAAGAGCTTGCGAGATAGAGCCTGCCAAACCCATGGAGAGTAAGGATATCTGGAAAAAAAAAAGATGAGGTAATGTCTCCAATGGTGCCTTATAGAGCAAACATGCAGGGTTCTCCCATGTTGTGAGCCTATTCTGAGCAGCTAACCAAAGCATGAAAGAACACTTTGGGATAGAGTTAGAAAATAAGATGTCCTTGTACCAACTCACTTGCAATCCAGTACGCCGAATCTGCAGCTAAGTTTCTGCAGTAGAGAACCTTATGCTGCTTACATGAAACATCATGGCCTCATCATGCTGCTTACATGATCTCATCATGCTGCTTACATGATTGAGTCTTTTAACTTCTGACCAAGTGATCGACCAGTGTGTTGATATATTCTTAATTGAGTTTTAATTCAAGGTGAAGAATGAAGATGAAGTTGTTGACATAGTATCTGTACTAGTTCAGTACTACATGAAGTAGTTCAACGAAGCAGATGATGTTAGTTTCAGAAGCTTGGAGAGGAGTCTAGAAGCTTGAAGAGTTTCCTTTTATGTAGAAAAGGAAACATGAAGAGGAATTTCCTATTCCATAAAAGAAAAGGAAATTCACAAGAGATTTGGCAATTCCTACTAGAGTTGGAATAGGAAATTAGGGTTGTATGGCCACGACCTATTGTGTATAAATAGGGGTGTTAAGCCTTTGTAGAGGTTAGAAAAAAAGAGTAAGAGAATTCTTAGACACTAAGGTTGTGTGGTTTCTTGTAAGAAAGCATAACGCTTAAGGGGGCTAAGGGGTTTGTCTTGAGAGGTTCTTGGATTGTGTATAGATCCATGAACATGAGAGATTAGATAATTGTTTGAGTGATACTTGTAAGTTTACTAAACAGATTCTCTAATAAGGAAGTTTTGTTTTTGAAGAAACCCATGTCTCAGTTTGTGTCTCAATTTGTGTCTCAGTTTATGTCCCAGTTTCTATACATATCAATAGTTTTCTTACTTTCACAATGCACATATGTATATGTTTTGTTATTTTCGATATCAAGTTGCTTCCTATAAACTCGTTGTTACTTTAATAGATTAATAGTCAAGTGTTCGATATCATCAACAGTAAAATAAAAGAATTAACATTATTCAATTAAAAACCACCAAAGATACAAATCTGAGCCATTTTAGAAAGCAAATAAAGTAGAGAAAGGAAAAAAACCAAAAATATTGATAGCAAGTGTAGTTCTTTTTTTGGTTATTTAAACAGTAAACGATTTCTAACGTCGAATATATACCTCCCAATTAGGTTGTCTTCAGATAGATTTAGATGTAGATTTTTTTGCTGCGTTAGAAGTAAAAAATATCAAGTTAAACTATTATTATATATTTTTAATTAAAATTTTTAATTTTTTTTTTTGCGCCATAAAACTATTCATTTTATTTAAATTCAACAACAATAACGCAGCATGCTTCTCATTTCTTTGCAAGATAAACATTAGAATTACCTAATAAAACCTACATTTAGAAACATAACCTTACCACATACAAAATTCGATAACAAAACTTTTTCAAGGGGAAGTGTGAAGAAGTAATATAAGTGTGTATATATGAGAACTATGTATCAAAATGAGTCACTACTACTATAAAATGAGATAAATGGTTTATTTACATTTGACTGCAACTCTCTTACCCCATATCCTAAGGTTTTGGATCCAGTTCCCTCACCTAACATGTGTCCAATTGCAAAGACATCCCAAACCTAGTTTCATTGTTAAAACTCTATTCTTATCTGACCTTGAGGTTTGAGGGTCTTTTGCATCCATCCTCCTCCTCAGAACCGTCACTAATATTAAATGGGCTACAAGCAAAAAATATTTTTGGGTTTCTACAAATAAGATTTTTAGTTTAAAAAGACTTTAAAAAAAAAAGAAAATAACACAAGATGGGCCGAACATAGCATCTATAACATTTAAAGTGAAGGAATAACCAACTCAGCTACTGAAACTTTTTAAAATATCGGCCGAAATCTTATTTACTTTTTAAAGGCCGCAACCATGGGCTTGTCCTGCTTGTAGTCATCGACGGCTCTGCTCCTCCACCATGGAGAGAACCTCTCCGCCTTCCCCCCTTGTGGAGAGAACTTGTTCAAGTCCCTTAGCTACCTCAAAGTTGATTGCTCCGACAACCACTGAACCTAAAGGCCTTTTTACAACGTCACGAAATCTTGTGATAGTGACTATTGTTAAATTTCTCGATGTATTCGGGGAAGTGTCTTTGACACACCATGATCTCATTTGATGCATGTTACGTTGTAGCCTTTGCCTCCTATGGATCTATCAACACAGCTTTATGCATGTTTGTTGTAAACTTGTGTTTTATTAACCTATTGTACCCAACCTTTAGGTTGATGAGCTTGTACTCTTTATCTCCTTTTAGGATTGAGGAATCAAGAATTATGTTTTGCAAAAAAAGAAAAAAAAATCTCGTTTGACTGCAAAAAGAAAAAAAAACATCACAATTTAAAATTAGATACGTTGTAACTAGAGATTTGTTACCTTTCTATATATTTTACTCTTATCCATTAATATACAAAAATCTTATCACTAAGATTTTGTTTCATCATCTAATAAGTGTAACTTATATTATTCTTGAATCATTATAAGTAGACATGTTAAATTATAAGAAAAAAAAAACTACATAAGTTTAGTATCTTATAGTCTTGGCTTTGATTCGAGCACACGAATGAAAGTCTCAAAGGCTGTATTTATCACCATGATTAAAAAACTTAAACAATCCGATTCAATATGGTATAACTCCATTATCCATAGCAAAGAGAACATATATATATATATATATATATATATATATATATATATCTTTTGTAGAGTAATTAATCTTTGATCTAATTCATGTCTTTGTAACATTGTTCTCTTTTTTGGTTTTTCGAGACTTACCTCTATAAATAATACAAGAAATAAGTATTTATTTTGTCGCAATTTTACAATTTTTCAAAAAAGTCTCTTTTTATTTTTTGCAACTTAAAGAACAAACAAAAGTTATAGCCAATAACATGAACACAAATCTCTTAGATCACTTTTAACATCTTCTTCAACTCATAAAGAAGACACGTTAATGGTTTCAATATGGTCCTCAACAGCTAAGGTTGATGTTATTCTTTCTTTCTTCTTTTTTTGTAACTCTTATACCATAGATATCTTGTATTTGGAAAATAATCAAATTCACTATCAGAGTCGAAGTCACTCCCCTCATAGTCCTCACATGAAGTAACTTCACTACGATCAGACTCGCTCTCACTCTCATCAGACTCGTTGTCACTCTCATCAGGGTTGTTGTCATTCTCATCAGACTCGTTGTCACTCCCATGACAATCCTCACAGATCCAAGTTACACATTCTATAGAAGGACTTGGCTCTTTTACCATGCAATAGCTGAAGAAAAACAAGAGAAAACGTTTTCTAAAAGCACCAAGAACAAACCACAACACCAAAGGAGTTGTAAAAACATAAGAAGAACTCTAAAGAAAATGAAATATATGAGTCAATCATAAATCAATCAGCCGTGGGAAGAGATCAAGAACCAAACTCACCGGTGAATAATCGAATTCTTACAAGAGTCACAACGTATTAACATTTCTTCGCTGCTGGGGTCGCCGCAAACCTCACAAACATTAACTTGAGACTAAGGAAAAATAAAGAAAAAGAAAATTTCGAGTGAAGCAGATGGCTTAGGTGAGAACATTTTCATCATAATAAGGATGAACAATAGAATTACCAATCACCAAAACATAAAACATTATTGAGTTAGAAGAGTTAGAAGGGTACCATATTGTAACTCCGAAATCAGATTCTTGTCTTTGTGAAGTTTTGAAACCAATTCCTCAATGTTTTTGATGTTTAGTGAATAGAGAGATTCAATATGTTTTATATGACATAAACCTAAGGAGGAAAGGAAATATATATTTTAAAGGTTGAAGATGATGTAACCAAAGATTTCTTATCACAATTACAAGATTTTCTTTTTAATAACTTTGACTAATTTGAATACACCAATCTTATCTTTTAGTCAATATATTTCACTTTTATATTCAATCAAAATTTTAAAAGTTACCTATTAAAATTAAATTTCATAGGAAATGGTATAATATTGATGATAGAGTTTACCTAAAATTACAAGATTTTGTTTTTAAGACAAAATCTTCTATTGATTTGAATACATCAATCTTATCTTTCAATTCAATGTATTTCACTTTTTTATTCAGTCAAAATTTGAAAAATTTAATTAATAAAATTTAATTCTATATATCTAAAAAACAAATATGCTATAATTGAGTTTTGTGATATGTACAAAATTGATAATTGATGAATCACACGAAATAATGATATACTAGTTTATGATATGTGATATACGCGAATATGGACTATTTGTTTTGGCGAATACCAAAGGATTCAGATGGTTCGATGTATCCTTGGATTCTATGGTACATTTGGAAAGCAAGAAATGAAAAGGTGTTTGATAATATAGATAGGGATCCAAGAGAGGTCCTACGGTTGGCAGAGAGTGAGGCACAGTTATGGATGGCTGCGCAGGCGGAGGAGAAGGCGGATGTTGAACCTGGTATACCTTGTGGTTCAACCCAAGCTCCCGAGGTTTCCAGTATTTGTTATCCAGGCTATACATGTTTTGTGGATGGCTCTTGGAAGGATGGTGACAATTTTGCAGGTTTAGGCTGGTATTGTACGTCCACAACGGATGAACCTACAATGGGTGCAGGTAATCTACGAAGGAGTCTTTCGCCACTACATACCGAAGTCGAGGCCCTAGTGTGGGCAATGAAGTGTATGATTGCAGCAGGGAGACGTGAAGTGACTTTTATTACAGACTGTTCAGACCTGGTGGAGATGGTGTCTTCCCCAACAGAATGGCCGGCGTTTGTCACATATTTAGAGGAAATTTACGCAGATAGGGAAGTATTTTTCTCCTCTTTTCTTTTAGTAAAAGTTTCTCGTAGCTCTAATCTTAAGGCGGATTTGTTAGCACATCGAGCACGTGTCCAACCGCAAATTTGTTTGTATGTAAACAATGTTCCCTCCTCTTGGCTCTTCTGAGTCGTTACATCTATTGCTGTTGAAAAAAAAAAAAAAAAAGAAAGATATGTGATAAGCACAAAATTTTGGTTTCTTATTATACCATGGGGGATAAGGAATCTTGTAGTCTTTTGGCATTTTTATGTTTTGGTCTCATATTTAGTTTGCTGTGTATCAATGTTTGCGCAAAAAGTAATTGATTTATTCTACTATTACTGAAAACATGAATCTTAAATTACAAAAATCAAAAGACTATCATGAAAGTGCATATGTGTGACTAATTCAACTACTTGTATGATCTACTTTGAGTTGTATGAGCATAAAATAAATAAGATAAAGACTTTGATAACGGGGTTTTGATAACCTATATCTGGAAGACCTAGTTTAGACTTTATTAAGTAAAAAAAACCGCAACCTACAATTGCTATATGGCATCCACCATTTTTTCCTAGAATTACAATGTATGAAAGAAGACTACCACTAGTTGTTTTTTCCGACTAGTGTAGACCTTCAACAAGACCATCAAAAGATATTTTTATCTTGTTGATGGGGTGACGCCATACACTTTGTGTGCATCTCTCGTGAATACCCTAAGGCGCGCAAGTCGTATTTATGAAGCTCCCTCTTGGTATTTATAACAATTGTTCAACCTAGATCTTACTATTCTATGGTAATAGAAATTTTTCTATTTTTACGCGAGTCACCAAATAAGAATTAACAAATTTCCTTTATACTTTATAGGAAATTTTTCTTTGATGTTCTCATGAATGTACTATTTAAGATGTTTATCCAAGCTCAACAACTACCTCTTGGCTTGTCTAAGTCGATCCCTAACTTTTTTACTATAATTCTTCAAAGTAGTCACACATTTCGGCTTCATGTACTACTTCACGTATTGCCTCCTCTACTACTTTGGAACTTCGCATGTTCTTAGCACAACTGTGTCAAGTAGTGCTTCAGCATCATTGGCAGTTATGCTCTCTGTACTACGTCTTGTATTACCTTGTAGTCGCACAACTCAACTTCTTATACCACTTTCTGTGTAGACGTCATAACTAGTAGAATAACTGCTTCATCTTTTATGTCAGGTCTATCCAGTCACTTCATGTATCATCATAATCTCATGAAACATTAAGATAGCTTATTAAACTCATTCAACACCACGTCATCATATCAATCAGTCTTTGAGTACTACATACCTTCATGTTCATAAAAACCGCGGTTTAAAGAAAGATTAGAAAGTCAATTACAACATTTCTGAGATCAGCTAAACCGAGAAAGATGATGATAATACTATTACATACAACCACCAAAAAAATCATGTTTTCTAGTCGTCGCTTGGAGTTTTTAAACTTCTGAAATTAAAACAAACTGTTTGCATACTTCGGTTTGATGGGGTTTTTAAATTTATATTTTAGAACCATTAAATAATTCGTTAAATATTCGGTTTCAATGATGGGACTTTCATATGTAAGCTTTGTAACCATCAAGTATTATCAAAACCAGTATAAAACTAATTCATTATACATCCGGTTCAAGAAACTATTCAAATCTTGATTTAAATCTATCTGAGTTACTGGATTTATTTGGGATTTTTTTCCGATCAATCTTTATACTAATACAATTATACAAACAACTTAATTACTTTCTTATTAAATTTATCTAAGTGATTTCTACATATAAAATTTGACTTATTTATCTAAGTGATTTATCTCGGTTTGGAGTATTATAAGACTATCTTAGAGTATAATTAATGGTGAGCACTTAACATAAGACTTTATTAAAAAAATCTTTTATATAAAAATCATTTCTTAACAAAATCCTAAGTTAAGAGTCCATCGTTAAATATGGTATGCGTTTCTGGATCATGATCTCTTACGACGATTCCACTGAATTTAAAATGCATGGATGGTCTCATCATGCTGCTTACTTGAGGTCTTTGACTTCTGACCAAGTGATCGACTAGTCCACATATCAAGTCGCTTCTGATAAACTCGTTATTACTTTAATAGTCCAAGTGTTAGATATCATCAAATAGTAAAATTAAAGAAAGAAACATTATTCAATTTACAACACTAAACATACAAATCATTACCCATTTTTAGAAAAGCAAATAATTTAGAGAAAAAAAAATGAAAAAAAAAATGAAAGCAAGTGGAGCTTTTTTTTTTTGGTTATTTAAACATTAAACGATTTCCAATGCCGAATAAATAAAATATCTCCCAATTGGGTTGTCTTTAGATAGATGTAGATCTATGTGTTGTCTAGTCACGAGCAATAATACTCCAAATTAGAGTAATTTAAAAGTTTAGGTTATATAAACTTATCCCTACCAAATGGAATATTTCCCTACAAAAACATTTAAACTATTATATTTTTTCCTTTAATTCAATATGTTTAAATTCTTTATTCATCAACAAAAAAACGTGGAAAACAATTTCTAGATATTTTTATATTGAATCATATATTTTACTCTCTTTTTTTTTTGTGAGTTTGAGCTATATATGTATGTATTTAAATTTTTTAACAAATTTTTAATTTTTCATTAAAATCGATTCAATTAATAGTATAGATAACAAGGTTTTTTATTACCTTTTTTAATAAAGATTCTATTTTTGAAATCAAACCAATTAGTCTGAAAAGAAACTAAAAACCAATTTTTGTCCTTAATTATTTCTTTAAAACATTGAAAAATCTGGTTACAAAAAAATTATAAAACAAAAAAATTGAAAAATGTTCCTAAAAAATTCATATAATCAAAAACAGATAGATACATTTGATAAAACGTAATTTATATTCAGTATATATTTACTACGCTAACATAATTACATATCTTTTTCTATATATATAAAAATGATAATTCATTCGTAGTAATTCACTTATATACAAAAAAAACCTTATGTGGGATCCGACAATATGACCTTTTTATTAAGAATAAAATAAATAGTTTTTTTATTATTATTAATTTATAAAATTTTATATATAAGTCCACAGTCAAACTAAACATTTATTTTACAACAAAAATAAAAAATTTCTTTCCAATTTCTCAATATAGTAATAAAATAAAAAGGAATCTCAATAGTAATTAGCACAACTTGACAACAACCATAAAAATCACTTTAATACCATAATAATAAAAAAACAAAAAAAAAAAAACAATTCAAATCACATGACCACCTTTAAAAATAATAATAATTATTAATAAATAAAAATCTCACGAGCAACACAACAACAAACACAAGTGAAGAAGACTGTGCAAAGAATCAATTTTGCCTCTTTCTTCTCTATAAATTAAAAAAAATAAATCAACGAAGAAGCGTCTCTCTCTCTTTGTCCCACCATTTTCACCGCTTCTCCTCCAATCACTCTCTCTTCTTCTTCTTCTCTCAGATCTACAGATTCTTCAGATTCCTCTTTGTTTATTTAAACGCCATGGTTGGTTCTTTCGAATCTGATCAAATCCTTTCAATGACGAACCTCAACGACATCTTAACGTCTACTGTCATCGCCGAGCCGTTACCTTCTCCGGTCACTAACGGTACCGGCGACGAAGAAAATCTGAAAAAACCAAACGGAGCTGGTGGAAGAGGAGGAGGAGGAGGAGATAGAGAAATGGTTCTCGGTAGGAATATTCATACGACGTCGCTTGCTGTAACGGAACCGGAGGTTAACGATGAGTTTACTGGTGATAAAGAAGCTTATATGGCTAGTGTTCTCGCTCGTTATCGGAAAACTTTGGTTGAACGAACCAAATACCATTTAGGTAAATCATTTGAATCGAATCGAATCGAATCCGTCATCTTCATCGTCTTGATCTGATTTGTTTTGTGTGTGTCACTGTGAATCGAATCCATCATCTTCGTCATCTTCATCGTTGTTGATCTGATTGTTTTGTGTGTGTCAATGTGAATCGAATCCATCATCTTCTTCATCTTCGTCGTTGTTGATCTGATTGTTTTGTGTGTGTGAATGTGAATCGAATCCATCATCTTCGTCATCGTTGTTGATCTGATAGTTTTGTTTTGTGTGTGTGAATGTGAATCGAATCCATCATCTTCGTCATCATCTTCGTCATCGTCTTGATCTGATTGTTTTGTGTGTGTGAATGTGAATCGAATCCATCATCGTCGTCATCGTTGTGTTGATCTGATTTGTTTTGGTTTGTTTGTGAATTTGAATCGAATCCATCATCGTCGTCATCGTTGTGTTGATCTGATTTGTTTTGATTTGTGTGTAAATGTGAATTGAATCCATCATCTTCGTCATCGTTGTGTTGATCTGATTTGTTTTGGTTTGTGTGTGTGAATTTTGAATCTGGTGTAGGTTATCCATATAATTTGGATTTCGACTATGGTGCGCTTGGTCAGTTACAGCATTTTTCGATAAACAATCTTGGAGATCCGTTTATAGAAAGTAACTATGGTGTACACTCAAGGCCTTTTGAAGTTGGTGTGTTGGATTGGTTTGCTCGTCTTTGGGAGATTGAGAGAGATGATTATTGGGGTTACATTACTAATTGTGGTACTGAAGGAAACCTTCATGGCATTTTAGTTGGGTTAGTATTTTGCCAAATTTATATGATTTGATTTGTTTGGTGGTGTTTGATTTGATGGTGTTTTGATGCTTGTAGGAGGGAGATGTTTCCTGATGGGATCTTGTATGCGTCGCGTGAATCGCATTACTCTGTGTTTAAAGCAGCTCGTATGTATCGAATGGAGTGCGAGAAGGTTGATACGCTTATCTCGGGGGAGATTGATTGCGATGATTTTAGGAAAAAGTTGTTGGCTAACAAGGATAAGCCGGCGATTCTTAATGTTAACATAGGTTGGTGTATCTTTGTTTGTTTTGGTTTGTTGGGAGAGGGAGAGGTTGCTGATGGTTAGATCTTTTGTTTATGTAGGAACAACGGTTAAAGGAGCTGTTGATGATCTTGATCTTGTAATCAAAACTCTTGAAGAGTGTGGGTTTTCTCATGACAGGTTTTATATTCATTGTGATGGAGCTTTGTTTGGACTTATGATGCCTTTTGTTAAGCGGGTAAGTGTGCAGTCTTTTTTTAATCAAATTGAAATTGTTATGATAGACTTATTGTGGTCTGAGCTGTGTTTTCTCTTCTTTCTGCAGGCTCCCAAAGTCACGTTCAATAAACCGATTGGGAGTGTGAGTGTCTCAGGCCACAAATTTGTTGGGTGTCCAATGCCTTGTGGTGTTCAGATAACAAGAATGGAACACATCAAAGTCCTTTCTAATAACGTTGAGTACCTCGCCTCGAGGGATGCGACAATCATGGGAAGCAGGAACGGGCATGCTCCTTTGTTTCTCTGGTACACCTTAAACAGGAAAGGGTACAAAGGATTCCAGAAAGAAGTTCAGAAATGTCTGAGAAACGCGCATTACCTCAAAGACAAACTCCGTGAAGCTGGGATCAGCGCCATGCTCAACGAACTTAGCAGCACAGTGGTCTTTGAACGTCCCAAAGATGAAGAATTTGTCAGAAGATGGCAGCTCGCTTGCCAAGGCGATATAGCTCATGTGGTGGTTATGCCAAGTGTTACAATCGAGAAGCTCGATGATTTCCTGAAAGACCTTGTCAAACACAGATTGGTCTGGTACGAGGACGGAACTCAGCCTCCATGCCTTGCATCAGAGGTAGGAACCAACAACTGCATCTGTCCAGCGCACAAGTGATTGCGCGGTTTCTCATATGTTTGCATTGTTGTGTTGTCGTAAGCTACATCTAGTTTTAAATCTCTATCCACTGTAATCCTTGATTCGGTGTCGATCAGCGTAAAATTTTGTCAGTTTCTCTTATTTACAAGTTATGGATTCAAAACAATGATCACATCAGCATCAGGTGATGCTAATTTAATGTTGTGTAATCCATAATTTATTTGTCAGGTTAATAAAAAAGTTTGTGATAGAACGTTTAAATGCGTTGCAGAAGTGATTACTATATATTAGAGAGACCAATATCGCGATAAACATATCTGCAAAGACATACAATCAAAGCTAACACAAGCCATATAACATGCATACATACATACTTACATACATCCAATATTGTAGCCCAAAATGAATATAAAGTATTTTATAACCGAGCCAACATTTCGAGTTTTTAAAATCAAACTTAGCCTCTCTTGGTGAAATCCATGAAGCTTGGCTGCCCATTTGTGTTCATCTGCTGGTTCTTGTTGTTCCCAAACTGATTCATTGTCGATTGCTGAGACGAGAATTGAGCACGGTTGTATGAATTCCCGTTCCCTTGAGGAATTTCTCCAGCGGCTATCTTAAGTCTGTTCAGTTCATCCCGCAGCGCTTCATTCAAAGCTGCAAGATATGTTATATATGGTGACTTCAAAATCTTTCATACCAAAATCTTTGCTTTATATATTCAGAGAACGACTCGATGAAAGAAAATGGCTTACCATCCCTAAGTTCAGCTTGTTGCTCTAAAGCTTGCAGCCGCATTTTGAGGTGTTTATTTTCAGTGTTCAGCTCTGATGTTCCTCTCTACACAATATATACAAAGGATACAGAGTAAAGATGCAGAAATATACAAAACACTATAAATGCTCTTGGGACAATCATCATTTCATTTTTCACTCCTCCACTGCTTCGATCACTTATGCGCAAACAAGACTTACACTTTTACAATTGTTCATTATACACTGTTGACATATCTCAATTGGCTGAATTAAAATGACAATAACATATCTTTCTAACACCAAGAAGCAATATAAACAACCTAGGCATCAATTACAAGTTATACGCTGCCTAAACCAACTAAACGAACTACGAGTCTACGAGAACAAAGCATATAGTCAAATATAACACAAATCAAGATTGCAGGAAACTTCCCAAAGGAGAATCCTCACTAATCACATCAGCTGCATAAACACAAATATCGTAACGATATGGTGTCGAAAACTTCACTAATGATCACTAAGACACTAACCTTTCACCAAAATCACATCAGCTGCACCTTAACACACAAGTCATATCAAAAACATTACCTGCAACATAGTGACTTGAGCAGACAATGTTGTTGCTTCATTCTGTAAAGTCTGAACCTTCCTCTCCAACTCACCAGTATACCTAATCTTCCTCTCTTTCGACCTCGCCGCAGATTGTCTATTCGCCAAAATCCTACCAAAAAAACACCAATTTCAACCACACAAGATTCAAAAAAGATACTAAATTTAATCAAAACTACCCAAAGTTCATACCTTTTAGCTCTTTTAGGATCAAGCAAAGCAAGTTCAGCAAGTCTATCACCACCCATACCCATATTCTTCTTCCCACCACCATCTTTACCACTCACAGAAGCTAAAATCGATTCAAGATTAAACGAAGCAGAGCTAGTAGCTCCATCCATAGAACTACTTCTACTATGATGACTACTACCCTTCTTCTTCTTCTCCTCTAAAGACTTACCAACGAACTGATCCTCAGTAACATCATCGAAGAAATCAGAATCAACAGAGAAGCTACGAACATGTCGACTGAATCGAGCACCATCAGGTTTAGGAGGAAGACCGTTGGATGAGGTTTCTTCTGAAGGCGAATCAACGGACATAAGAGAAGCTTGTTGTTGCGGTGGTTGTTGTGGTTGTGGTGGTGGTGGAGTGTTGAGGAAGTCAAGGGAAGAGAAATCGATATCGGAAGGATCGAATAAGAAGAGATCGTCGATTGATTCGCCGGAGAAGAAAGTTTCCGAACGAGCTCGACGGTGGTGAGTGATACGTTGACGTGGAGCTTCAGGCATACGTTCTATTTCACTGAGAATCGTTTGATTTGGTCCTCCTCCTCCGTCCATTTTTTTTTTTCCGGCGGCGAGGTTTTTTTTTTAGACAACCTACCGAACAGAGAGAAGTAAAGAAATCTGGAAAGTACAGAAGTAAGTGTTTATTTATTTATTTTGTTTGTCGAGGAGAGAAGCAGGTAAAGTAAAAGTAAAGTACTAAGTACAGTAAAACCTCTATAAATTAATAATGTTTGGATCATGAAAATCTATTAATTTATACAAGTATTAATTTATCGATAAATTAATAATTATTAATTTATAAAGAGATATTTTTAATTTGGAAAATATTTTCAAAACAATATTTAAAAACTAGAGGATGGCCCGTGCTTTCGCACGGATGATGTTTTTTAAACTAAAGATATAATTGGATTTGTATTAATATTTGGTATTCAATAGTATATGATAAACATATTAGTCTTGTATATTTTTATTTTAATTCTATAGAGTTAAATCGCGTGTTGATTTGTATATTTTAACTGTATAGAAAGTAAATAATATATACAATAGTAATTAGGTGTGGTTTTAATATAAGTACGTATATATTATATTTTCCCTAAACCGTTAAATTTATCAATCACGGACATTACCTCAACGGTGTATAAGAAAATGCAATCTTTTAATATAATTTACAAAAATTGTATATCGGTTGAAAGATAACATAAGTGATATATAACAATTTCATAAATTTGGATAATCTATTTATGAATACCTTATGAATAAAATTTAACTATTGGCAAAAGTATATGATAAACTAATCTGCTAAAATGTTAACAAAAAAGGAAAATATGATAAATATTGTAATTGTAAACAATTTTAATATAAAATTTAATCTTTAATCTACTTGAAATAAGGTAAATTAAATGTTTTAAGTTTAATAATGTACCAAATATTTAAATTTAGAAATATTAATGAAAAACATAAAAAAACTGAGATTTTTCACCTAAACTATTTCCTTAATTGAAAATTATAATACCTATTAAATCTTTTAGATATTCGAAAATAAGATTTAATTCCAAGACCCGATTAAGAGACCTGTTTTAAGAGATGACCAGAATATCTTTCAAAGTAATGCTATTTTAATATTTTAAAATTTAGTTTAAATTAATTAAATGCTTACCAAAATTAAATTTATTATCATTTTTATCTAAAATCGGTTAGTAAAAGAGGTAATATTAGTTGAAATTTATTTCCTTCCTTTTTCGTTTCTGAAAATGATTTTTTCTTATAAGTTCTTAAAGAAAAAATGTTATCAATCAAATTTTTTATTTCATAAAATGTATATTATTTTTATTCATGGTTAAAAAATATATTAGTTACATAAGATCTTTTAAGATATCTTGCATATCTTATGTTTCAAAAAAATATTTAAGTATATATTTTTCAAATTTATTTTCTCTTTTATAACAATGAAAATAATTTAAGAGTTACAATAAAACCACTAAAATAAATTTGAATTTATTTTAAATTTTATTCCTTAGTAGCCTTACATGCACCTTTTGGTTATAAATTTCACAAATATTAATTGAAAACTTTAAATTATTCAGGAAATAATGAATACTTATATATATATATATATTATAAAACTTTAAAAGAAAAGGAGTGCTATTTTTTAATAATAAGTAATTAAATGTTTTCAAAATTAAATTGGATTAAAACCTTTAATACGAAGTTTGTGAATAAAAAAAGATGCACAAATATTAATTTAATTTCTTTTGTTTACTTTAAAAAAACGTTTTAAATATAAATGATTTTAGTTAAATAGTTTAGGAAATATTTAATTCACGTATAGGAATAGTAATGAAGACATAATATATTGAGATTTTTCACCTAATAAATTTCCTTAGATAAAAATTATAATATCTATAAAATCTTTTAGATATTTGAAAATTTAGATTAACGATCAAGATTTAATCTACAAATAAACGATTGCGATAAAATCTTAAATGCATATATATATATATATATATATATACCGTGTAATTTAGAGGAAAATTTTTTAAAAGGAATATTAACCATTTTATTTAACCTTTTTTACATATATGATGATAAGAAGTAGGACTAAATAACCTTCGAATGCATACCACGTTTTTTGGGTTTATTGGGGAGGATGTTGTTGATCTTCGTAGTTTTCCCAAAGACCTCAAAATCTCAAGCTACTAGATCAAAAAAGTAGATTACAATTAGTTGTTTTAAAAAAATAAACACAAAAAGTAAAATATTATGAGTAAACATTGATTAAAAACGATATGAAAGCATGTGGTGTGAAAATTTGTATAGCAGGTCGCACTCACAGTCAGATATATATT